TCTCTTCCCTGCCGCGGTGGTGTGAGGTCTCGGGGGTCTTCGGGCCTCCCGCGCCGTGTTTTGCGAGTTCAGGGAGTCCCGGCTGTTGTGTCCCGCTGGCCTCGCTGTTCCACGAAAAACTTAAAACTGGGATCTTTCCCCAAACCTTCACGTTTCAGTGTGTGGAGTGTCACGTACTTTTATAAGTCGACCTTAATTATTCATCAGTGTTGGCGATAGTGTGAGATAACTACGTAATTACCGTTTAGGATCTTAATGTTCAAGATCTTATTGTGGAATTTCCTTATTCCTGCGTCCTCTTGTGACAGCGCTCTGAAGTGGCTTAAAGCTGTTTGGACAGCTGATCGTTATGATTGCCTTGTCCTGTTCATGTGTGTATATATATGTTAACGTAGCCATTACTTTGAATTCTGTAGACTACCTGTAGTGTTTGTGTCAAACACGGACACCCTTAAATCACTGATGGATAATTTCAGCCACAGCTGAAAATGTTTTTCCGATCCTAAGTTTCGTTCTCTGCCCCTCTATTTTAAGCACTGGAATACCAAGGTAAAATGGATTTGTGTTTGGTTTGTATCACTAGAGATCCTGAGAGTACTGGCTGCCTCTTTATTGGCAATGTTGATTCAGAAGGGTGTAATAGTGACAGAAGCCTCAAGAAAAGAGTGTGAAGAAGAGCAAAAGAGCAAAGATCCTGAGCAATAAGTGCTTTGCAAGTATAAGGTTTACCTTGCAAAGTTATCATTGTTCTGCTTATATTGTTAAACAAAACCACAGTGGAATTGAGGGAGTGTAAGGGTCCCCTCCAGTAGCAGTATTTAAGGCCAACGTGCAGGTTAGGGACCTTTCAAGAGATGAGGTTTTGTTATGCGTAATCTGGAGAGTATGTTCAGGATCCTGCTGTTCTTAGGACTGCTGCAGTAGTGAACTCTGCATGTTACAAGGACGCAATTTCTGGTGTCGGTACCTTCTGCAGCCATAGCAGTCAGATGCAACAAGGCTGGCTAATTCAGCTGTAGTGTGATTTACTCTTTACTTGAGTCATCTCTTCATTTTTATTTTTTTTTTCAGTTCTCTTTAACTGAAAATTAGAAGTCTAAACTGCCTGTGCTATTCCGCTGTCAGAATATAGGGATAAAGAAAACATTAATGTAGTCGCTAAGTGTCATAGAAGTTTTGTTTTGATCTCTTGTTCTAAGAGGTGAGTTTATGTTTAAGCTCTGAAAAATGTGTTCTGTGTGTGGAGTAAACATTGCAAATTTCACTCGTTAATACCTGAACAATGGACTTTCATAATGAAATAGGAACAAAATTGTACAAAAATGTAAACTTCGTACAAATAGAAAGCGTTTAATCCTTGCTTGAACTGCAAAAGGGTAACAGGATTGTAGTCATATAGCTTTAAAATAAAAAAGTTTAACTGCCTGGTCAAACCCCGTGTTGTAAACATGTTTCTTAATAAAGTTTTGCATCTACTCTGTCTTACTACAAAAATGCATAGGCATTATAGATACAGAAATAAGAAATGAAATTTTTGGCAGGAGCATTGTAACAAAGCATTTATTTGTCTATTTTAGGGCATGATATCCACTTCCACGATAAGAAGGTTGCTCTGCTGGAGGCTGGTCCTAGGAAAGAATATGATCGAGTGCCAGACAGTTACAGTAACAGGGTCAGTTCCATCTCCCCAGGATCAGCAACCCTCCTAAGCAGTAAGTAAGATTTCTATCATTTGCATTTTTAACAGTATGTTTGAGCTGCTTTTATTTCGTGTGAACAAAACCCCTTTGCATGTGTGCTGCCTTCATCCTAAACTCAATGGAATCATTTCCCTTTGTCTTGTAGTGCTCTATATGCTGAATTGTGGTGATTAAATTGGGCTTCTCTCGATAACACAGGGATCTGTGTTCTGGTATCTTGGCCTGATTTGTTACAGAAATGTTTGTGATGTTAGGCTAGTGAGACGTTGTAAGGTGCTCTCTACAGCATCTGGAATGTTCTGTTCAAAAAAGAAGCGTGTACTGAGTGCTCTCTAGTCTGATAACTCACTTATCCTGTTTCATTTTCATTTTAAAGAGAGATCTGAGCCTTGATTCCTTATGGGGAAGGCAATGTTCTAAACAATGATGGCCGTGCCTTTCCGTGTCTATGTTATTACTCAGTGTTAGGACAGTGAGAGTTGACTGTTAAATGTCAGCATCATGGAAAGTTCTTGTTTCTTTTCTACTGGCTTGTGTTAAGAGTAAAATAATGCAATGCTGGAGCTGTGAAAGTATTGAGACAGACCTGGCCCTGTCTAGGGATGGTGCAAGGCGAGTCTCAAGTGAGATTCAGTTTTGTTTGAGCCTCAGTGTCACATGTGGACCTGTATCTCTATGCATTTGTGTCTTTTTTCTCTTTCAGGTTTTGGTGCCTGGGATCATGTCTGCAGCCTGAGGCTTAAACCGTTCCGGCGAATGCAGGTGCCTTACTTAGGGTTGCAAATATACCCTGTGTCTAATTTGAATTCTTAGAAGTACTTACATTAACAATCCAAAGGGTTTTTTTCTTTGGCAAAGGGCAGGTCATGCTTATGATGATTCCTGTTACTTTTTTTTGGGGTAGCAATCTACTTGGAAATAACTGTCCTCAGAGTCTTGATGTTACAGGATGAAAGGTCGATTCCTAATGGAAGCTGTAGATATTGAGGCGTGGGTATTGGTCAGGAAATAAAGGTAAAAGTGTGTATTGGTTTTGGCTGGGATAGTTATTTTTCTTCCTAATAGCTTGTATGGGGCTGTGTTCTGGATTTGTGATGAAAACTGCTGATAATTCAGGGATGTTTTAGCTATAGCTGAGCAGTGCTTACATAGAGCCAAGGCCTTTTCTGCTCCTCACACCACCCCACCAGTGAGTGGGCTGGGAGTGCATGAGAGGTTGGGAGGGGACACAGCGGGGCAGCTGACACCAACTGACCAAAGGGATATTCCACACCGTATGATGTCGTGCTCAGCATATAAAGCTGGGGGAAGGAGGAGGAATGGGGGACATTTGAAGAGGTGCTGTTTGTCTTCCCAAGTAGTAGGTTAAGCATGAGGGAGCCCTGCTTTCCTGGAGATGGCTGAACATCTGCCTGCTGACGGGAAGCATTGAATGAATTTGTTGTTTTGCTTGGCTTGCACATGCAGCTTTTGCTTTACCTATTAAACTGTCTTTATCTCGACCTACAAGTTTTCTCACTTTTACCCTTCCGATTCGCTCCCCCATCCCACTGGGGGTGGGGCAGTGTGTGAGGGAGCAGCTGCGTGGGGCTGAGCTGCCAGCTGGGGTTAACCCAGAACAAGGTGGCAGGGTGGCTTTGTATGTTAATCATGTAACAGGGAAGTAGGAATATAAAACTTTGCAATTAGTTTTTAAGATCAAGCTAGATCATTGTATGAAAGGAATTATGTGATGTACTTTAGTAGCTGGGAATGGACGGTAATCCAGGATGTTTCTTCTAGTTCTGTGTTTCTAGATTGCTGCATCCTTTTCCTGTTCAGATGGATACATTCATAGTTCCCAAAAGGAACAGCTCTTCTTTATCATGTAGCTTCATGTAATGTATTTTTTCTTTGTAGGTGTGGGATGCTTGTTCAGAAGCCATGATCGTTTTTGAGAAAGATGACTTAGATGACATGGGTTACATAGTGGAGAATGATGTCATTATGTCTGCTCTCACAAAACAGTTAGATGCGGTAGCAGGTAGAGGACAACTTCTTTAATATTTTATTTCTTGAAGAGAGCTTTCAGATACTTGCCTTCTGTTGTGTGCGCTAAGTTATGAGAGGGAGAAAGATAATTCATCTAACAAGTAACTCTGAGACATAGGCAGCTTCTTCAGTTGCGGGGGGAGGGAGAAGTCTGTCTTCCTGCATAGCCTTCGCATAAGCAGTTGCATATGTCGTTCTCTGCGACATAGTTTCTCCAAAAATGGACTTAATTAAAACATCTGTAGCTTTCTATCCGGAGCAGGCCTTGCAGTGACAAAGGGTTGGTCAGATCTGTTCTTTCAGGATGCCTTCAGAATTGTAAGGTCAGCTCTTAGGGTGCCATTAAGACGTGTGTGGCCTTGGCTGTTGTAGTGATATTTCCTTTTTTCATGTCTGTGTCGTGCTGTGACCATGGTACTTTGTGTTCCCATCAGACCGGGTGGAGGTTTTCTACGGGAGCAGAGCAGTCGGGTATACCTGGCCCCTCCCCTCTCACAGCTGTGACACAAGCCCTTGGGTCCAAATTGAGTTAGCTGATGGACGCAGACTTCAGACCAAACTGCTGGTAACTAAACTTCTTATTTCTGTTGATCAGGCATCATCTCACCCAAGTCCTTTCCACTGGATTTGGTTCTGATTCCGTGTGTGCCGCTCCACCCTCGTGGAGGGCTTGAGTGAGGTGAGTGGCTAACGCTGTCAGAGACGCTATGGGACATGGTGCATAGCCTTTTCTGTACCTGATGCAAGAAGACTGGGCTGAATGGGACAAGAGCAGAAGGGGCCACCTCTTCTAGTTTTTGGGGAGTCTTCTTTTTTTCTTTTTTTTTCCCCTGAATAAACAAAAAATGTGTACCGGCAGGCTGAGGTTTGTAGACTGGAATCTTGGCTTTCTTAGGAGCTGCTGAAGAGGTGACATTGTATCTCTTCATTTTGCAGATTGGTGCAGATGGTCATAACTCCGTAGTCCGGAAGGAAGCTGAAATTAAGAACATTGAGCATCGGTATGACCAGTCAGCTGTGGTGGCAACTCTTCATTTGTCTGAGGTGAAATTCTGCTAATTGACTTTTCTGTAAGCAGCAGAACAGCTTAAGCAGGTCATCCAGGTCACTAGTTTGTAACTATCCACTTGCTTCTTTCCACTGTAGGCCACAGACAATAATGTAGCATGGCAGCGGTTCCTTCCCACAGGGCCAATTGCGCTTCTTCCGGTAAGATGACTTGTGGTCTCTGTATTTTATTTTTTAAAAAATATTTTGTAGTCTGTTCTTTTCTAGTAACTTCATTTCTCTCTGTGTCCTTCTGTGTTGGTTCTGTCTCTTAATTTGTCCATCTGCTTTTTACTTTTCAGTTATTGCATTTGTTTTCCTTTCCTGCCCTCTCACTTTATCCTTGGTATTTGCCACTGGTAGCCAGTTGGGCTGGAAGAGTAATGTGCAGAGGGACTGAGGTGGGCCAGGGAGGTGGGGAAATCCGTGCACTGATTGTTTAATTTTGCTTCTTTTTTTCTTGATACTTACCCTTGACATTCTCTTAAACTAGCTGTCTGACACTGCCAGCTCTCTGGTCTGGTCTACATCTCATGAACATGCATCAGAACTTCTCGCTATGGATGAGGAAAGTTTTGTGGATAGCATCAACTCTGCCTTCGTGAGTATCAGCCTTGTGGTGTGTATGAGGCTGACTTTACTGTAATCACAAGAAATAAAATGGAACCCTATAGTTTAAAGGATAGTAATGGGAGAGGGGTATTCTCAAGTTCCTTCCCCTGGTGAGGATGATATTAAAAAGGCACTTAGCAAAGACAGAATGACCCCTTGGGACTGAATTCGGTTAGTTCTGAAAGTCATGGGAGTTGTCCTAAAATGATAGTTTCTTCTATTGTACAGTTTTGTCCAAGTGGATAAATTCAGTATTTGGAGCTCATTCAGTTTTTTCCCAACTGGATTCTTTTCTGTGTCTGGTGTGGATTAACATCTAAAGATTTGTTTGTTTTTTCAGTGGAGCAACGTAAACCACTCTGACTTCATTGATACTGCTGGGGCCATGTTTCGATCTGCTATTTCACTCCTGAAGCCCTCGGGGACGGCAGTCCGTCAGCTGCCCCCAAGCGTTGCTAAAGTAGATCCAGAGAGCCGAGCCATGTTCCCCCTTGGAATGGGGCACGCCATAGAGTATGTCCAGCACCGTGTGGCTCTTATCGGGTAAGGTCCCTGTGGTAGCCCTTGTGTGAGTGGGTGGCATGTGGTTAGAAATGGTGCAAGTATAGCGACTCCCGGTCATCAAATTAGATGGTTAGAAATAATTCGTAGTTTCAGATTGACTTTATCTAGGCCCAGTTTGTACCATGTGCTCTTGTGCCAACAAAGTCCTTTTGTATGAGTAGCTCTCTGTCCATTCTGTGTGCTTTCTATGTAAATTGTGAGATAATTATTTCCCTTTTCTTGTTTGTATAGTCCAGTGAAACAGTCCAGTATCTCATGCTGGACCTGTACTTCCCCAAACATTGTAGCAGCCATTCTGTGTACCAGTTTGAGTTTTAAACTCACCTTTCTTGAACACAAATGACAAAACTTACAAATTATTCTGGATGGGATGTCATAGGGTTTTGTACAGTGATCTACAGAAATAGGAAAATACCTCATTTTTTACATTCTGACCTTGCATGTACTTTTTTTCTCTGCCACAGCTGCCATATACTGGTAGCTTATAGTAATTCTTGGATGCCATATTAAATTTCAGCTTTCCAACTTGGGAGCCGCTCTGTGATTGGGAGCGCTCTGTGCTTTATAGCATGTTAAAGTGCATGATCTTACACTTCATACCCAAACTTCATTTCATTCCTCTAACTTTAAGACTCCCTTATCAATATGTCTGGCTTTGTCCTTTACAGATAAGCCTGCTCATAAAAGAACCCGATTTTGTTTCTGTTCAATGATATTCCACTTCTTCTTTGTATTCATGATGTCTGTCTACTTTGCGTTTGTGAAATATGCCAGTGATGTACCTCCTGTTGTGCCGAGGTCACTAACAGAAACATTAAGGCCTGTTCTGCACATGATCTGAGAGGACTTTGGCTAGTCACCTCTTTGTAATTTTTCCTTTGAGAACTGCTTTTTGTTATTTCCCCTTTGTCTTGCTTCTTACAACTGGAGAGGCAGTCAGGTGGTTCAGCATAACGTGCAAGGAGGTAATGGATAAAGCGTATATGCTGCTGTAAGGCGGTGTTCATTGCAAACAGGTGAGGAGTGCTATACTGGCCCCTTCTGGGGTTTGTCAGCCATTGTGGCTTTCTGCAAAAAGGGATATAAGTTTCTGTCTTCTCTTGCTCCAGGGATGCAGCACACAGAGTCCACCCACTTGCAGGACAAGGTGTAAACCTGGGCTTTGGTGATATCGCATGTTTAGCTCATCACCTCAGTGCAGCAGCCTTCAATGGGAGCGATCTGGGTAAGGAGCCAAGGCAACGAAGTGGCAGTAAGATGATTACAGGCCTTTGCTGCCTAACCTCAGGACAAGCATTACCTCTGCTGCAGGTTAAGCACGCTGCTATCTTGCGTTTGAACGGCACAAGCATCTCTGAGGCAGAACCGTTCTGATGTCCGTTGGCTGTGGAGCAGTTAAAAGATTATTGGATGCAGTTTCCATTGCACAAATCTCAAATCTGCTTTTTAAAAAAAAAAAAGTTCTGCTGGATGGTTGTTGAAGAGGTGGTGAGGTGCTGACCACTGGCAGATGGAAGGAGGCCTTTATTAAGATGGACCATTTCTCTGTTCTCTTTCTGTGTTTTCAGTGGTCAGTGGAGACTGCTATATAGATAAGATGCACAAGTGTTTGTGCATGTAAATTTTAATAGAGATTCGATTATCTCTTCCAGGCTCCTTAAAACATCTCTTGAAGTTTGAGACAGAACGTCAGAGGCACAATGTCTCCTTGATAGCTGCTATTGATGTGCTAAAGAGGCTTTACTCCACGAGGCTGGCTCCCTTGGTGTTGCTGAGGACATGGGGATTGCAAGCCACAAATGCCCTACCTCCTGTCAAGGTAAGAATCTCACTTTAGTGAGGGCTGTAGGAAGAGTCCAGAACTATTTGTGAAACACATACAAACTGTGAAGATTTTTTTCTTTCAAATGAAACATTTTTGGTTGGAAAATGCTACTTGTTCAAACTGACGTTTTCTGTCCTAAATGACCCTCAAGAGTTCCTAAATAACTGATGGCTCAGTAGTAGCTGTTTTCTCCTGCAGCACAAGGGAAGATGAGGGATCTAAGTGTCTGTACTCTGTACCAGTAGTCAGAAGTTAGAAATCATTAGAAGTTTCTGGCTTTATTTTGCTATGGAATGAAAATGTGGAACCTTGCACTGCATTCCAGAAATGCACTATGAAAAACCAGCCCTATGAAGACACATCTTCACTAAGAGTGAGACATCAGGTGACTTGACAGATGCAGTGTGCAGCTCAAAGAGTTATCCATTTCAGTGCTGTTTTTCTTTGTGAAATTGTTCCCTCAGGGCAGAAGTGCAAGTCTCTATACTGGAAATTACCTGGGGAAGGCAGCAGTGAGGAGGTTCAGTCTTAAAGCCAGACCCTGTCTTTAGAGCCAGTCTGCCTAAACTCTTGCACCATCTTGACCTAGTTGCTGGATTTTCGTGAGGTTCCTTAAGCCACCTGCTCTCAAAGCTCAAATCAGATTCCTTGTTTCTGGATTGGAATGTTTTACTCCACAAATCAAGTCACCTTCTTCCTATTAAACACACATGGTCTGTTTCCTTTGCGTTAGGGTCACAGTTAAGACACTACCTGAGCTGAAAAGCAGTAAAATCCTGAGGCGTGGTAGCTGCTACTGGCAAGATGTCTGTATTAGTTGCACTAAAAAGAGGACTATGCTGCTGTGTCAGCGCTCAGAATTTTTTTTTTCTGTTTAAAGCAGAAAACCAAATGATGGCCTCTTTTCTCAGCACAGAACTTGTTGGTAACACCTCTGTTTCGTGCTGCTTGGGAAGGAAAGGAATGCTGCAACTTCTTTAATTTTCTAGCATACAGGGGTAGGTGCTCTGCACTTGGCTAGAAAGGCTGGTGAAGAACTGTTGTCCGTATATATATAAGGGAAGGAGACTGTAGCTGCTTTCTAGAATGTATACTTATTACCAGTTTATTAATTACTTATCTTTTTCTTCTCATCTTTTAGGAGCAAATCATGGCTTTTGCCAGCAAGTGATCTGTTGTCAGTTTGGAACAACAGCTTGCCAGTGAACACATTGCCCTTCTAAGGACTGTGACTGACTTGAATCTTTGAATTGTGCTATTTTAATTTAACAATAAAACTGAGGGATTGAGCTGTGTATTACATCATCCACTGGTTTATGCAAAAGTTCTCATTTGCTCTCCTCAAGAGGATTAGGGTCTCTTCCTGTAGTCCCATGATGTCTTCAGCCACAGAACTAGCTGCACAACATGCTTTTAATTTGGGCCTTTTGAATTGAAGACCGAGGTGGAAACAGCTGTCTGTCTTTTGGAAAACACAGTCCTGAATTTTGCCAGCTACAGCTTTTGCTGCTTAATTACTTTCAGTTTTCTCCAATGTGGTTTCTATAGCTGCTGGGTTCTTAGCACTTCCTGGACTCAGAAAGGAGGGGTAGTTTTCAGCAGACGGAGACAACTCATGGTGCCACACATGTTTTAAAGCTCTAATCTGTCTCTCTCACCCTTTTCCCTGCACTTCTCTTGGTGCTTTATTGAATAATAGTGTTTCTTGTGGAACTGGTCTTAAAGGCTCCCTGAAAAAAAAATGCAAGACAACAATAATATCTAGGAAAGAAAACTGCACCACGATGTCTTGAATATTGTTAAAAATGCTTTAATTACTAAAATAGACATTGAAGATATTCTGTCTTAGGTTCCAAACACCAGCCTCCTGCATTAGACATTTGACACTTGGAAAATTAAGTGAGCACTGCCTATGGGCAAGATTTACACATACGGTTGACCAGTATCAGGAATTAACATCAGAAAGAATGAAACAAGTTTTGAACTGAAAGCCATTACTTGTGCTTCTTCAGTCACTTATATTAGGCAGTTCCTGTTAGTGACTGGCTAAAAGACATTACAAAGGAGGAGATAAAAATCAGGGCTGCAAGTAGAACTCTTCTTTTAAAAAGACTGCTTCATCTTTAGTTAAGCTAATAAATAAATCTCATTGCACTAGGGTAAGTGTGAGGACTTAACTGGCTTCTCTAGATTCCCCACCCACCTTGAGTAGTTCAGATGTAAACAGCAGGGGCTCAATTCTGCAATTTCTTGCAAAAACCTTTGAGCAGAGTTTGTGTTTCTCATGACTGCAGGATTGGGCCCCGAGTGAGAACAGCAGTTTTGCTTCAGTTAATGAATTGTGCCACTGACAAAGGAAGGCCCTGAGCATTCAGATTTAATGCAACTTTGGTGCTGGGAAGCAGATCTCCCACCGAGCATGTGTAGTACCAGAGTCTGAGGCAAAGAACACAGAAAAGAAACTTTCCCCGTGTGTTAGCTGTCTTGTTCTAGACCATCCTCCCTTCAGACAAAACCCTGAAGTACCCCTCAGGGCTAGCATCAATTCAGTTGGCAGATACACTGCTGCTGCTTGTTCCTCACATGTAACATCCCACCTTCCTTTCCTGTTTCAAATACAGCCTCGTTGCTTACAGCTCTTAGCCCCAAGATCTAGTAAAAGTTTGTCATGGCACTGGCTCAGACTGAAAGACGACTTTTGGATTATTAGATTAGATAGTTCTCAGGTGTAACACAGCCTGGCTGGTAACCACTGCACCCTACTTTGTGTTCTCTGAGACTAAAAAAGTGAATACAATTTTTAACTGAAGACAAAATGAACGTGTTTGCAGTCACCTTGTCGTGCAGACCAGACCATATACTAAGTTTTGGAAAACACTGGGAAAGGGAATATGAAATGTTTGTGGTTGAGAAGAGGCCACAACTACTTTTCTTGTGTTGAAACAGAAGCTCCTAGTGAGGAAGGAACAGAAGTTTGGTGTGACACTGAGGAATTTCCCAACATGGATTTCAAGACAGATTCTAGTATGGATGAGCATTTCGTATTTCAAAGAAACAGCCTGAATTTACAGCAAGGTGAAGGTGGCACAAGTATGGGTAGCTCCATCCCCACCCTTGCACTCCTGTTGCTGACTGAACTTGTTCAATCAAAACCTGAGATATGAAAAGGGGGTGGCTTAATCAGCCACAGTCAAACTTGTGCTGCTGACTAAAGGAAGTAGACTTATGTTCACAGTAAGGCAAATTTCTAAGTCTCCAAACTGCTTGGCAAGATTAGTAAGGGCATGAGTTGCACTACTTCCTCCTCTTGCCGTGAATTGCTATTATTTTCAAATCCAGTTTGCAGAGAAGGTAGCGTGAGGGTAGTCTTTGGTATTACAGAAGTGGGAAAGGTGTGTTATAACAAACAGGTAACTGCAAATGCCTGACAGGAAAGTGTTTCTCACAAGAGATCAGTGGATAAAAGCTTCCCTTAGGCATGTAATACCTCTCTTCTTACGACTGGGGTAGATTAATCTTTACCTTACACGTTCCACGGTGAGTAGAAGATAACTAATTTTTGATGAGCTAGCTGCCAGAAGTTTTACAGGGTGGAAAAAGTTGTCTCTACAGTTGTTTCTCCTTATGACAATGCAAGGTCTGTACTGGGAGCCTCAAGGTATTTGAGCAATCTTGATGTTCTGTACAGCCAATTACACATGAAAACCAGGATCCCACAGCCCAGCTTTCCAGCCTATCTGACAAGTTGCTTTATTTAAAATACTGATCTTTCATTGCTTCTATGTGTTTGGTGTGAAAAAGATGTAATATTCACTTTAAATTGTTACTCAAATAGCTTCACACAATCCTGACAGGAGTCTTGGGCTTCCTAAACAGCGGCAGCCCCCTCATTGGATGCACTGTTCCTAAAGACCTGCTGTATATATTAAAAATAATTCCAGAGCAATACAGGACTGCATATACCATTTTATGGGTCCAACTCCACTATATTGAAGAGAAATGAAGTTTAAAACAACTTAAAATGGATAAGGGATAAGCAAACAAGAGATAAGAAAGCAAAGCTACTCTCGTTCTCTGTTTCTGATGCTAATTCTGCTCTCTCCCTATTTTCATCTACTAAACAACTGAAAAAACAACTTGTTTCACCACAGCTCTGCATTCAGAGGATGTTCCTAAGGAGAGCACAGGAAGCAATAAGCCCAAATTTTCAGATGGGAAACCACACCTTAGCTCACTCCGACAAAATGGGCTATGGTGTTCTAACAGCTTGCTGGCCCGATTTAACTGAAGTTTGGTGCCATGAATTGGTTCACCAAAGAACCTGAGGAGCACCAGCATCAGAGGAAAGAAGGGTCTGGGAGTGCCTTGCTGAGAGCAGAGAAGCAGAACTGCCTCTCACAGAAAAGTGAGCTAACGGATCAGCCATTTCATCAGACTGCACCCTTAATGTCCTTGTGGGTGTAATGTGACAAGCATTTCTTTTGGCAGTGGAGTTTAAAACAGCTGGCACTGCTGCCTAGTTGTGCCAGCACAACTCTGTGTTATGACTACATGCTAAATGAATCAAGTTATCAGGTTTGGTAGCCAGAGGTACTATAGCTGCACAGACTTGTAAAGGGCAGCAAAAAGGAACACAAACAGTCAGGCATACGTTCTGCTTAGAAAAAGACTGCTGCCTAAAGAAATGCTTGGTAAGTTACAACCCATGTTTTAGCCAACACCTTTCCCAAAACCATGCCCAAAGTGTGCTTCTGGCAGGCCCCTTCTTGAACGATTGGAGTCTTCTTGCAATGTATTAGCTAAGCTAACAGCCGGGTGCTTGGAACACTGAGGCTGGCAGCACTTGGAGTTTTTCACTTTTCTCTGAATGACTGTTGATGCCATCTTTAATTTCTGTATTTAACATCTCACAAGCAAACTTAAGTTACGTATGTTTAAAATAAAAGGGGGAGGGGAAGTCATGTGTCTGTAGTCTGTCACCACGTGCCAGGTACTCTGTGCGTCTAGCAATGGGATGCGATTACAAACGTGCTGGTGAAAGCTGGCTTTGAGCCCCTTGCAGATATTCTGCTGCAGTTTAGGCCTTTTGACTTTCAGAAGGCAGGTTCTGGATCATTTACGGCAATCACAACTACAAATCATACTGTGGCAACTCTCATTATGCACGATGCCAATCTGGGGTGAAGGTCTGTTCTATAGCTTTGGTCCATGTTCTGCTCTGTGACCAGCTCCAGCTGAACAACGTACCTGGAGATTTCAATTTGCTTTCTCAGCCTTTCAGAAATGCTGAAGTCCACAGGAATGTCCCAGCTCAGTAGGTTATCCCTAGAGACTGCAGTAGGTGAAAGGTAGCACCCAAAGTCCAGCTTGTCTCTATATTGTTCACTTTCTTTGTTAACTATAAAGGAAGAAAAAGAAGTTGTTCCCAAGAGTTCTCTAGATTCATATGTTGCACAGATGACAGCAACTACATGTAGCTACCCTGGAAAGACTCAGTAGATAATTAGCCAGAAGAATGAGCTAATGCAGGTTGATAGATACAGAAATTGGGAAGCTGGCTTTGGGATTTAACTGTTTTTCTCACCTGTAAGAGCGTGTTGTCCCTAAATCCAAAACCTTCCTTCAGTAAAGCAGTGATGTAAGTGAGATCCATGCAGAGGAAAGGACTGGCTGAGTTGTACCTTTCCATGTTATCACAGACTAGAGCAGGAAGAAAAAAAAAAAAAAAAAGGATCTCAGCAAAATAAAGGAGCTTTTATCCACATTATACATTTGAACTGACCTTAAGCCAAAAGGTACTAAAACGTGCCCACCCACTTCTATTAACAGGTACATATGATACATGCTACAACAGCTGTTCTATAATGGTGGAGAATAAACCAAATAGTACTTCCAGTTTCTCTTAACTCCATCAAAAGTAGATCTTTTGTTACAGCAACATAATCCACATAACTCTTTTGAAGTCTGAATCTCTGTTCAATTGATAACTGGCAGGGAGTTGGCAGATTACACACAGCATCATTTGTCTTCCTTGTGTAATCTCCAAGGATGGCTCCAGTAAGGGACTCTGCCTTCTAGGATGGCAGCTTCTTTTATTTTTTTCCAACCACACATGTCCAAGGACATGGAAGAGGCTATTGCCCAACCAACCACTCTCTTGCCGCAGCTAAGTCAAGATTCCACAGTAAGGGTGACAGTGACTGGGAAACGGATTTACACCAAGAGTTGTCTTCTAGATCTACTGTTGTTATTGCCCTGTTCTAGAAACATCAAGAGCAGCGTTCACTTCTTTTTCACACTGATAAGCAGCATCCTCCTACTATCGAAACGAGAAAGAGGAGCATTAATTTAGGATGACAGAATTGATCATCTGATGCTCTAAAGCCAAATAAATGGTTTGATGGTGTTAGATAATATCTTAGCAGAATCTTTGGAAATAAGCTCTCACAGTATCCAGGAGAAAAAAAACAACCAACCCACACTCAAACTTTGGAGCCTAATCCCCCTAGTCAAAACCATCTGAGTTTCTAGGGAGATTAAGTTTTACTGAAAAATCATTAGAATTTAGGTCCTATTTTAGAAAAAAGTCAGTCCTGAACTACATAATTAAGCATCTTCTGGTGAAAAATAGAGTCTACTAATCATCATGAGGATGATCACAATTCAGAGGTAATGTCTTGCTCTTAGCCATCAGCAGCATGGCAAGGTGGGAGCTCTTTTTTTCACAGGAGGAGGTAAAAAACTAGAACAAGCGTTCAGGAAAAAAGTCAGGGAGAGGGAAAGGAATGCAGAAGAGGCTGTCAGTCTTAAACAAACTCTACTATCTCCCTCCATTTTGTTAGCGATTAAAAAGGATTTAAGGTGACAGAGAAGTCAGTGCTCTCCTGTACTCGGAGTTGCAGTTTGACAGAAGGAGCTCTTGATACAGCAAATTCACTTTCTTCTGTACTGCCATTTATGAACTAATCTCCCTTCTCTCCTGAACAGAATTGCAAAGCCACTAACACTGTGTTTCCCCCCACTGCTCTATCAGTGCTTTCTTCTGCAACAGTTACAGGTGTTGGCTAACAAAAGTAACATGACAGGGAAGGTATAAGTGGAATAAAGGTTAAATAAACTAGGGTGTTTTTTTTAAGTCAAACTCACATTAGGTACTACCTATACATTCATATTTTTGTTATTTCTCATCCACACCAGTTTCCCAAGTTTCATGAGAATTACCTTCTTTGGCTTTTCTTTCAAAATCTCTCACTTCCAAAACACCTCCCTGTTCATAATCTGAAAAGGAAGAGGTGAAAAAGCATCATCATAGACCTGAAAGCATTTGAGTTCTGTATCTAAGCTGACCCTAGAGTGCAACTCTCTGATGCTGAGCTAGGAGCGAGACCTGTTGGTAACAGAAGACAGAGCTGCAAGTATAACTGGGGCTCAGAGCACAAGTCTCATCTGCTGAACTCTGAATATCAGACTACACTGATGGATACACATTCATTCCCTGAAAGCATTTTGTGTATTTCCTCTTTCTCAACACCATTCCTTTCTCCTGCTCCTCTGCTCCCCATGGCTCCAGGGTTCCTCTGTCTACCTTCTGGTTGACCTGCTCACCTGTAGTAGAGTACCCCAAACCAATTTACCAATTAGGTCGGTGTCAACTGCTCGATCATAGTAATAGGAGAAAGCATAAAAGGAACTTCCACGAATCTCATCTGGTTGGTGCAGTTTCCCTTTGACAACCTTGAGTACTTCCAAGTAGCAAGGCCTGAATCCTGTTTCTCCTGTCAGGACAAACACAGATGCGGTGAGCCAAAGAGGCACATCCAGGAGATGGAAGAATTAGTGGCAATAGGATGGAAAAGGGAAGAAGGAGAGATTAAAGCATCAGAAGAGGTGAGAAGAGCTTAGATATCCTTTCTGTAAACCAGTGTGGCACCAGCATGCAGGTAAGGACTCTAAATCACCGTCATCAAGTGGAGGTGGTTAGAGCAGATCATAGCAATATCTGAAAGGCATGCTGCACAAACTGGTGTAGGTGCACGAAAAGCTTCCTCCACATCAGGTGAAACTCCCATTGTTATGTTCTGTGGTTGGCAGAAGCTCATTTACATTTGCTACCACCTGCTAGATAAACCCTTACTTTGTCTCCCTATCACATTGTAATTTTATCAGTCCACTCCACACACACCAGATCTACAACTCAGCTCTCTTGTTCCCCACTGCAAAGCAAAGCAACACCAGTCACCAGCAGGGTCTGTTCTAGCCACTGATGGTAGCAGCTTTACCCTCTGTATGCAGCGTTAGGGATGGTATCTTAAGAAACAGTTCCACAAGTAAGATACATGTTGGCCTACCAGTTACTGTACCCTAACATAGCCTGAGTTTTTGCGCTTAGCTCAAAGCCTCAGAAAAAGCTCTCTTACTTGCACAACTCTTAACGTTTCCTATAAAATGCAGCATTTGTAATAAGAGATCACAGCCAGAGTATGGAGAGTACAGGCCAGCTATTCTTACAGCTTCAGATTTTTCTTTGGCTCTATCAAAAGTCCACATCTATGACTGGACAGGTATCTTATAACCCAAGGTAACTGGGGGAGTATTTGCCAAGGAAAAACTCAGATTCTGGAGATGAGACTTATCTCACAAGAAGCAACAAGTCCCCTTAGTTTACCTTCTTTGTTGCCACCATACCGGTATTTCACTCCCCCAAAATGCCACTCTGCCTCCAGCTGCTTTGGCAAACAAGAACTGCGGAACATTTGTCCATCCACAGCTGGAATGAAACCAGAGGGGAGAATCAGAAGGGATAAAATTTAGTGCAGTTACCGATCATTATGCAGAACCAGAAAAGAAAAGGCTGAAACACCTTCATTAAGGTCTTTAAGCAAAAGTAACGAAATCCGAATTGATTGATCCTGCACATGATTATGAATTATGGACCAGTCTCAGTCTGGAGAAGTTATGCCCATTTTGTCCTGCAACCTGCAGAGCAGCTGGGCTTGTCATTTGTTAATGAGAGATAAACGCTACAAGGGTAGCTGGATAACGGCTGTTCACCATAGAAGACAAGAAACAAGAGAGGTAATAAACTAAACACAGAGGTACACAAACCCTAACAAACAGCAGATAACTGAGACAAACAAAGCAACTGAGCAGTGAAGACAAAAACTCCTAAGACACTGATGGGTGGCCGTTACAGGAACCACTGAATGTACCCTTGAAGGGTTCAACCAGAAATACTGTAACTGATGAGAAGAAAACATGATTATTGTGGCCAGCACAGGTCTCACAGAAAAAAACAAACTTCTTACAGAATGGTTGAGGAGGATCGTGGGACTGTGCAATATTTATTATGGGATGTTTAGGGGAAGGCTCAAACGCAGGGAAAGGGGAAATCAAGGGATTAGGGAAGCGGAAGTATGGGAAAATGGAGGGGATGATAAAAGAATCCAGAAGGTGGAAAGACCCCAGGTCCTGGCCAGAGACCGGACAAAAGGCCCAAGGTCTGGACACAAAGACTGGAAGGACTTAACATCTGGGTCAGGGACTGTGAGTATGCATTCAGGTTAGTGAGTGAGAGTGTGCGATACGCTCCTGGACTTCTAGCAAGACTAGCTAGGAGATCTAGGGGAACAGATAGGCCAGGCAGATACCAGAGAGACCTATAAAGTGGGTTTGGCCTAAGCAGCAATACTTAGAAAAAGGATCTACCCATGCTGTTTGTGTTTCTGTGGATGCTCATAAAGCTGTGAGTTTGTGGCTGGCCATGTCTATATGGTGTTTGTATGTTCCCATGTGTGCATTTCTGGAATCTGCACTCACTGCTGGCTGAACCTGGAAATAAGGAAAAGCAGCTGCCTCACAAGACAATTCCTTAACAAGTGGTAGCCTGTTTCCAGACAGATCTATATCAGTGAAAACACAGAAAAGCACAGGATACAGAAGAAGACATGGGAAACGAGCTGCTGACAGAGGACTATGTCTAACCATCTCCTCAAATATCTTGGATGTTTTATCATATGAACATACCTTCCATATTCAAAGCTCCAAGCGTTGCTAGTCTGGCAGCTTTTAGTCCAAACCCCAAATAGCTGCAAACAATGAAGAAAGACATTGCACTTTTAATTCTTGCACATCTGGTATGCTTCACCCCTAGCCTTTTCCTAAATCCTGGAACATCCAAACCAAACTTCCTTCCTCTGCTTCCCACAAGTCTCCCCTCTCTAAAACAGAGGGTTCCCTTTGCCAGAATGATTCCAAGTATCAAAAGAGTGATATAAACCCAAGAATTACAAAGAGCTTCTGTAAAATGGATAAATGTAAAACTGCAGAAAGTGATTAGAACTGATGTGACATTTCTACAAGGCATTCATAAAAAGCAAAAATGCACAATCTTAAAAGCTAGGGAGAAAGAAAGCTATGTGAGGAGTGCATGCGGAACAGGATGGCCATTCTTATGTCACACACATAAGACTATGTGCTCCTAGGGCACAACTAATAGGGGAACTGCAGAACCTCCCACTAAACGGGAGCTGTGCCTTTGTGTGAAATCCATCTCTGTTTGACTCCACACAGTACCACTACACTCATTACAACCTAGGATGTGAACAACATTCAAGGGAATATAATAACACATTGCTGGCTTCAGCAACACAACTAAATTAAAAACCTGTTGGCCTTTCATTCCCATCTCTCTGTTTGGCTACTTACCCCTTTAGTCATGTCAATATGAATGTTTACAGAATAATCAGAGTCAAACTAACCTCCAGCTCCCTCATTTTTCAGGAGATGATTTCCAATCCCCATTATTTTAAGTGATCTAACAGACTGTAATGGTGAATACAGCAATCAGTTACATCAATAAATGTAAGCAGTAGGAGAGGAGGACCACTAAACCAGCTTTGCTGTCAAGTAAGCATATTCTGTAACTGACTGAGATTATAATCTTCACCCCACTAGTAACAGGCTGAGACCAACTCTATTATACATAGTCAAGTTCTCATTGGACTAACTCATGGAGGTGAACTCTCTGGATTTCACTGCAGACATTTCAGAAACTTGTCAGCTTAATGCAGTAAGCACAACTATATTATTCCAGGCCAAGTATCCCCTCCAATTGGTTCGAGAATCTGTTGTGCTCCATGCCTGTGGTTGTCTCTCTTTGGCTTACATCAGTCTAGGTTTTACTTTTTGTCCAGTTGCTGATGGACAACTTTGAACTAATAACTAAGAAGGAAGGTCCTCTTTCCAAACCTCTGATCAGGTTTAGTTCTGACTGGCACGATATCCACCCTTCTGCTTTGTCCAGCATATTTGGCTTGAATCCAGTAATAAGAATTCTTCTCCTTAAATATAGTGACTCATAATGCCTTCTCTTCATTTGACAGACTGACTAATATTCCTTCACAGTGATATGAACTATGAACCTGGAACGTTTCCAGTCAACTAATGGCATGTTCCACTTCAACTAATGTTTCAAGCAGATAAGAAAACTAGTAAAAAAGTCATGGTCCCAACAGCTGGTAACGGGATGACATGGCGGTTAGCTCAGGGGCTGCAGAAAGACTGATTTCCTCAGCGGAGACAGCGGCCTTTTTGCTCCTCACCTGTGGGTATAGAGCTTGTAGGTACTATTAAACATTTCAAATGAGGTAAGAAAATCCCCAGGGGTTTCCTTCAAAGTTTCCTAAAAGTTAAGAAGAAATATTTTAGTTTCTATTATGCAATAAAGAATGACCAGCTTTGATGTAGTATCACAGATATACCCATAGGGTTTACTGCACACTCATGTGATCTGCTTTGAATACAACGCAAATTTTTCTAATGGTGCCCACTGCTGCGAGGTCTGCAGCTTTTAGCACAGAGTTTATTTATATGCATCTTTGTGTTACTTCAATGTATAATAGGGAAGTGCAACAGATCAGGATGAAAATACTTTCTAATTCAGGATACCTGAATTTTTCAGAGTACTTACGTGCTAGTCTTTATACACAGAGTCCCATCAAAATCAGCTGCACTAGAAACACTATGAACTGTCAGTCAGACTAGACATCTCAGTGCAGGATCTCAAAATAATTAAAAACGCAAAGTGAAGTACAGGCCACATTTTCACCATGTTAATTGTCATGCTAATATTCAAGGAAACACTGTGACCACTCACTCCCAGTCTTAGGGCTGCTTCACCTCCTGGTTTAAGTGCTTTCTTCTAAATTAACCTCTTGTCTCATCACCTCCAGTTTTCTGCCTTTCATAGTCCTCCCTCTGTGCCCACCTCCGCCCCACAGGTACTCAGTCCCCACCTTCTTGCTAGAGTAACTCTCATATTCTTGTAAACTTGAATCAGTTTAGGGCTCATTTAGTGTTCCCTTTGTTTCAATCCTAGTTTCTGTCTTTCATCTGCTAGTGACCTCATTCTCCGATCACTCCTTGGCCCTGTGCATTCATATGAGACACTCTGTTACTCTGGGCCAAGCAGCAGAATCTCAGAGAGGACTGATGCTGCAAAGTCCCTGGAGTTTCCACTCAAGTGACCAGATACAGCAAAAACCCACCAAACAGATTTGGAATTGTAGAGCCCGAGACAGAAACCTGCTCAAAGCTGAAAGAGGTTTGGCAGTATTGAGCTTGAGTTTCTCCTGAACAAACACAAACGGAAATTTGTTTTGGGTGTCAGGTAGATTTTCATTGGAATGGCAGTCACATCCTTGACCCAACACACCCAGACCCTGCCATATTTTGAGTTTTCCTAAACCCTACATCACAAAATCTTTTAAAAAGGAGAAATTCTGAAAAAGAAAAAAAATATTTGGAGAAAACAAACTGTCTTTTTTCATGCCTTGCTTTCACAAAAATTTAGGAATCCTCACACCCCTCCTAAATGAGGCAGGCACCAGACAATTTCATAATGATTATGATTGGTTTTCAGTTGCTTATAATACCATGAAAAAACATAACACTAGCTTAAACAGCTCCATGCAGTTACCATCGTATGTCCTCTATTTGCTTGTCCTCTATATTTCATTAATGAGTATTTTGTTCAAACTGAATACAAGAGCAAATGTGACTGCCTCAGTTTGCAGGAAGGGAAAAACACCACTTTACAAATCAAAGGGGGAAATCCCTGCTAATTCCTTCAAATGGGAAAAACTTTTCAGAACCTACTGAGCTACGTAATGCTTTTTTTGTATGAACTTGACAATGCAGGTGAGAAGCAGTCATAGTGTACAAGCAGGCAGCGTGATCCTTGACTTCCACAGTGCCCTACGAATTCTCATCATTGGTCCCGGTCGGCAGCAAACCCTGGAGACCTTTTCCTGCAAGGCTCTAAGGAGTCATTTGAATCCTGAGCTGCACTTCAGCCTACTTCACAGCTCTATTTATTCTCCAAAACCCTGACATGCAACACCCTTTCCTGTTGGTCTAGTGCCCACTTCAGCAGGTGTTATCAACACAAAACAGAGGGCAAGCTCAGAGTACTTGAGGCTTTGCTGAACAGGATAAGGTTGCACGTCATGTTTCAACACGACCCACCATTGCAAAACTAAAACATCCTGATAAGAAAAACATGTGTTTTGTGGTCCCCAAACACCCCATAGAATCTCAATTTCTGTAAACAAAAAAATGTTAAACTTCAGAAACCAACTGGTTTCTGTTGGCAAAACCAACTTCATAATATCAACATACAGAATGCTACAGTGCCCTTCCAATACCCATGTAATTTTCCCGTGCAAACTTTAGACTTGGGTCCCAGTTCAAACTGTTTCCAAAGAGCTACAGAATTTCTGACAAATCCAGCAGAGATGGACTGAGGGACAGAGAGGGAAATTCTCAAAGGAAATGAGAAGAAATCAGTAAGAAAACAGGATTGATTGTGCTATTATAAAAGATGTTTGCCCCATGGGACACTCCACTCCTCTCCAAAACTTAGTGAGGATCTGTTATCAGACTGGAACGGAAAGAAAAAAAAAAAAAAAAAAAAGCTCAGAGCAGATCCTAAATTTCTTGTAATATGCAAGAATACTCCCTGGAAATGGTCTACATTTATTGAATACAAAGTAATATCTGCATTAATGGGGCTTTCTCAGCCTGGGTCTAGAAAACAAAAGCTGTTTCTCTTTGGTTTTACTCATTTGCTTTCTTTCTTTTTGTTTCCTTGTTATCCAGGCTCCTTTGTTTGCAATTGCCTATCAGCCAACTGCTGATGTCAAAGGGAACAGAAATACAGATGTTCTGTACACCACAGATGTTCTGCTTGTGGCAGTGCTGACAAAGTGACATCAGAGAGCACAGCAGTGCTCAGGTCTCTCCACTGGCCCTGCAGTCCCAACCCATGGACTCTTAACCACTCCTCACCTCAAACCGCGGCAGGAATGTGATTTGAGTTGAGGCTCCTCCCAAGTCCAGAGTCCCAACAGTATGCTGGTTCTGGCCAGACAGCTGCCCTGCAAACAACATCATGTTCAGGCAGCCACCAAGTTATCACAGCAATACAGGAGGGCTGAGCTGGCCTTCAAAAACAAAGAACATCGCAGAGAAGAGGTAGGCAAACAGAAAAGATTCATAGGATTTTCATCCTTGATTCCAATTTCACCTCCAAAGAGACAAAAGTAGATAAATATCTAGGTATCCAGCAAAAGCTGTCAGGGAGAATACTTAAATTCTGCAATGACCACATCGCTGGTCAGGAGCAGTAGGACAGGAAGAATAGTAAGAGCACGACCAGCTGTTACCCTTTCTCTTCACCCACAGCAGCTTTTTTGCTTGTTCATCTATCTACTAGAGTACTGATTTTCTTTTCTCTTCATTAGATTGCATTCCCAGATGTTCTTAGAGCCATTAAGGCTCAAGCACCAGTGCAGCTCCTGTTACACCATTTCCGTTGCATAGTTTGCGCTGGGATGAAGAACATTGTAAAACCTTGTTTCCCGCCTTCTGACAGATTAGCAGTACCGCTCCCCTAGGTATGTTACAGAAACCAGCTTGCCAATGCCTCCCAGACCCGAGCAAATCCTGGCACCTTCTGGATCAAGATGCCCCCTTCTTACTACAGAAGTGGCTCACCCTCTGGAACAGTCTGCCCAAGACAATCCACTGCTTTATCACTGGTGCCACAGCAGGGAGGAAAAGCAGACATAGCAACGAAGGCAGAGGAACTCAGGGTGATCACCTCCACAGAAGAGACTTAAGTTCATATTTAGAGAGAAGTTATCCAGAATTAACTACCTGTCAAAAAGTTCACAGTGATCCAGGCTAAAATTCCTGCAAAGAGTTAAAAAGGGGAAAAAAAAAAAAAGTCAAAAAGTCACCACTGAATACTCCCACAACCTCCTGCTCAGCATTACCACCCCTCCACATGTTATATATTTACCTGGAAATCATTACTAACTTAATGCAACCACCTCACACTTCAGAGATTAATTCAAATTTACAATTATGTGATATGATGCATTATTGATTCATTAAAATCTCATAAGCTGGGATAGGTAGAACATTTGTAATATCCATGCAACTGCAGCATGCACAAATCATGTCTATTATCCCAACAATATACAAAGAAGTAACGAGCTGACACAATGCACAAGTTTCCTTGGGCACTTTCCCCCCCTGCCCCCAGCATTTCAGTTCCTAATCCGAAAACTGCATACACACCGCTCTGTGTTTTAATCTTGTGGTTTCTGCAATTACACTACAGACACAGTGGCAACCAGTAAAACACAAACAACTCCTCTGGCTCCAGCAGCTTGCTTGATTGTCACCCAAATGTAGGCAAACATGTGATAGCAGCAGAGGTGGGATTTTTAAATAAACCCTGGCAGGCTACACTATGCTCTATTATGCCTCATCGGTCCTGCTCCCTGTCAATACAACACTTCTCCCTCCTATACAATTCACCCACTAATCCTAGTGACATACTATGCATTGCACCATACTTCAAATACTTGCAGACTTTATGTTACTTCTCTTTTTCTCTTGGCCCACATGGACAGATTTTGCTCTTTAATTTTCCTCCATTTATTAGTTGTTTAAGCGTCATGGTAATTCTTTTTCTTTCCTTGAACACCTTCCAAACTGGCTATATAGCTGCGATAATGAAGTGTTCAGAACTGAATGTAACATCACAGATGGCTCTTATCAGGCATCCATACAGAAGGATTATTACCTGCCTATTCTCCAAGGTAATATGTTTGGATATGTAGCCAAAATGTTACAGTGCTCTGTTCTGCACTGCAAAATCATTGCTCATTCCAAACCTATAACATATTTCACCTTTTCTTGTATTTTAGGTTACTTTCCTATTTTTCCAATCAGAATATTTTTTAAAAATTTATTATTTTACTATGTATTGCATTATCTATTTTTTTAATACATGCCAATTATCCTTCATTCTTCTCAGATATTCACAATGCTTCTAATCTTAACCTGTAAATTGATGAGCTAATCATAATAGATTGTTTTTAATACTGATATTGCTGAATTTACAAGGCACTTTCCATAAGCTTCTTAGCTTGCTATATACTGTCACGTAGCCTTTCAGAGGTAGACATCATCTTTTTTTCATCAGTTCCCCAAAACAGGCTTCAGCTGGTTAGTCTGCATACTTGTTTCTGAGATGAGGCTCTCTTCTGGAACCTCAGAAGGTATTGGATGAATCTTCATCTAGCTAACTTGTAAAACTCTTTGTGTGTCTGCATTTGTAGTCTAATAGATGACCAAGTAATCAAGACCTCCTAGGAAAAGCAGGATTGAATTGTTTCAGACAGAGCTAGAAACTATTATATTTTCCCTCAGTTTAGTGACCATTTCTTTTTCCCTCTCACATGCATAAGTTATCTCCCTCTCTTTCCCCACTCCTCTTTGCTTTCACTTTTTCCTCCTTCTAAAACGTACCTTCATAAGACCCGTCCATGATGCTAACACTGTCCTCTGGAACAAGAAATGGTGATTCCTCAAAGACTTCTCTCACCTGAAGAAAGAAATAAGGATTATATTCCTTAGTCTTAAGAGTCTTGTTCTACTCTGATGGCGACAGAACAAGCTTTCTTTTTCACAGCAGTATAAAATAAGACAAGTGTGTGGAGTAGACAAAAGAAAGAAAGAAACAAGTATTGTAGGTCTCTCTCCCCACACCTTCTATCCGCATCGAGACAGAGGATTTCAGGACCATACAATGCAAGTCTATAAAGTTCGTGAGTTTCATGCTATCATGGGATTACAGTCAGTTTTCACAGCTGAAATTCTCTTATGCTAAATACAATGGAGAACTGAGTCATGAAAGATGAAACAGGGAGAGCAATTACTAGTGCATCCAAAAGATCTTAGTATTACCTCTAAAAGCAGAGCCTGAGCTTTTTCCTCTGACAGCAAGCGCAGTCCAGCTGTGGCTTTTAACACTACTGGGGTCTTCTTCCAGAGGTGAGGTGGCACAGCATCTATGGCCATGTCCAGCAATCTTTTGACAGATTCAGCACCCTGAAAGGAAAAAGATGGGTTTTTTACGGTTTCCTCTTACAGGCCATCAGAAAATAGGCCTCCCAACTCCCCCTCAACACCAGTAAAACCAGTATTCAATAGCAGAACTTACCTCACCCACACCCAAGATAAGGATAAAAACTGTGCTAGACATCTAGTAAGAACCTTCAAGAGAATGTCTGCATTGGAAGGACGAGTATATTCAGAGACATATCTTAGGCGAGAGAAATGTCTTTGTGGAAAGTATTATTTGAAACGATGGAGGGAGGCGAAGGAACTGAGTATCTGGCAAACCCAGACATCTTGCAGTATGACGGAACTAAATGGTACAGTTACTGACTGAAGCTGCAAAGGTCAGGCAGGATGTCTGTAGATTTCACTAAAGGCAATATAAGAATTCCAAGTGCGTCCATAGCAAGTACTGTAATTAAAATGCCAGCTGGAGAATGGTTACCACACGAGGTACGGACATCACTACTGGGGTCTCAATTATTTACACTGCTCTAACAGTTACAGTTTGGCATCAGCGATAAACATTCTCCTATGAAATATCTAGAAATTTCTTTTGGGGTGAATTCTTCTCCCCTCCTATCCAACAAACAAGGCAATTTAGTGAAATAATGGGAGATCTCATCAAAGTTTAAAAAAATCTAAAAGCCATTCACTTTTCCATAAAATTTCTCACTCAAATTCCTGTAGCACTGAATTGACACTGAGCAAACTGGGAAACCTGCAACTCCCCCTACGCTAGGCCCCCAACTCGAAGACTGCTAAAGCACATAAGGTAGAGAATCTAATCTCTCATTTCTCTGGCACCTCCTGTAGCTTGTGAAAGAGCTTACTGTCAGTGCAGGGGATCTGGAAAATGGCAGTTTCCTTCAGAACTGGCCCCGTGTATCACAACAACGGGATTATTTTAGCGCTCTCTGCTCTGTTGTTCATTTCTGACTCCTGATCCAATAGAGTGGCATGGGAACAAGTGTACTGTGCATGAATTCACAACCACTTTGAACATAAGAAGGATGGCACCTAACTTCAATTTCTTATTAAAATTATGAATTTATATGTTAATTAATCTATCTGATTGGGGAAGATGGAACTGTCCCGAGGCGGTAGAAGAGTAACTGCCTGTACCTAAATCATCATTCAGCTAAAACTGTAATCAACTATTTGAACTAAGCATGGCTGAAGTGAGTCCTACGTATCACTGAGCACTGGCTTCCAAGCCATGATTCCAAAGACAACAGCAAAGAATTAAACCAAACAAATTATTGGAAGTCTGATGACAGAAACAGAGAATACACTTAGAGAAATATTAAGGCTTGACTTAACCTGCTAAGTGCATCTTTATTCTTCCCCTTCTCCATAACTTGTTAACAGAAATTAACTTTTGTAGATCTGACTATAAACACACAAAAAAATTAAACATTTTTAGGAGTCAGGGAAATGAACCCTCTTTGCTTGTCAGTGTAACATGACTAAAAAAGAAAACCCCTGCAGTCTTAACACCTTACTTCTAAACCAAACAAATCAAAACAAAATATGCTCCTTTTGAACTGTGACCAGCATGGAAAATATCAACCAAAATGAAAAAATGAGAAAATTATTAGTAAATGAAACAGGAGTATATATTTACTCATATTTGGGGTAGCTATAGGGGAAATAAACTTTGAATATGGATTCCACTAGAGCCGAAAAATCACTTTGTCTTTTAAATTCTTAAAGGCATATAGTTATATATAGCATTTAAGCAATTAATTAAGCCATTGTTCCATTGAAGAAATATATAAAGCAGCAGCTCCCATTTCACTGTGTAGAAATTAACTCACAAAAGCAGAGCAACAGGTTTAGAGAGCCAGCAGGAGAACATTTACTTTTTTTTTCTTGCCTCTGCAATTACTATTAGTAACACTTGACCTGCTTGGTAGAGTCCAACTGCTATCAGCAGAAGCAACACCAACTCACAGGGAATGAAGGAGAGCCTTACCTTTTCAGGCTGATCAGCATATGCAGAAAGACCTGGCTTCACAGACTCAAAGATTTCCCCTTCCAACTCTGGAAGTTTTTCTGCACAAATGGAATATTACAAGAAACAGTCAACAACTTGAACCTTTTTCTTTAGTCTCAAAAAGGTTGTCTGCGACCCCTGTAAAGTGACTATTCTTGCTTTCCCCTTGCAAACAATACTATTCCCCTCCTAAAACAAGCACTGCTCCTTCACTTCAGGAACATATTTAACACAATGTTGCCCTTGTATCCTCCAAGTTCATGAACAATTTATTAAGAACACATCATTACAACTAAAAGTATGTTCATTTCACATTCGTGAACTACAATGAGTTATTGCAATGTAGGATGACTTGCCTAATCTTAATAAAATTTCTTTCCCTTTCTGTCCCCAAGCTAATTGTGAAATACTAATTCATATTAAGACATACAGAATCAACTCCTGATTATCCAGGTGATTCATCCAACTCACAAACACAGAACAGAGCTGACTGGGCTCAAGCACTTGGCTGCAAAGCCAAGCAAGTGTGACCATTGCTCCCAGAACAGCTTGGGTCTAGAAACTATTCCTGAGTATTGCACATTACAAGTCAGGGTGAGCCCACCAGAGCTGGACGTTGTACTAGTCCTTCCAAACTAAGGCTGAAATCATGTGAAGCTACACAGGTACCACGCGTGGCCCCGCAGGTCTTATTAGCAGAGTCCCATCAACCAGCCTTCAACCTTTGCAAATCTGCCGGCTCACTGTACCCACGCTCAGCCACCCTCCTGGATCCTGTGGCATGTGCAGCCAACTTGGATACCTTTGCACTATGTCAGATGCAGATATACTGGAGTGTGGTGCATCGGCACACAGGTGCTCTCCTGGAAACCGCTCAGACCTTCAGTGCTTATAACTCTTTAATTTACTGATTTTAATTTGCTACAAAATGTGACATATAAACATACACAGAATTTAAGTATCTCTTGATACAACTCAAGGTAACACGCAACGTAACAAAAAACAGTGTAAGCCTCTTTCCAACTCAATGTGACATTTCTTTAAACAGCCACATGGTGAAAATCTTTGGAAATTCAGAACTCTCCAGTATAGCCAGAATTAAACCTCTGAGTTTCAAAAGATCTACAAAAAAATTTTCACAGCAAAACACCACCACAAATGGACAACAATCATCTGTTTGAGAGCCATCTGAAGGACAAATGTAGAAATCTTCAGTTGTTCCCAAATGTTGCGTTGGGTAAAAAGACCTCATTTGGGAAGCTGGAACCTAAGTGAACATATCCCAGTGCATCGACTGACAGGGGGTCTTACCTGGGCTCTTCTGCACAAAGGCGTAAATGTGAATCCGGGTTCCAGTGCTTCCTGCGTCAAACATTATGCCATAAAAAGTGTTGGCTTTGGCATTTATAGGGCACACGTTAGGTGGAAAGAAATCCTGAAACCACATCTCCCTGTTGGAATGGGAAAGAACGAAGGACAAAGAGGAAAATGCCAATGCTAGAAGGATGGGAAGTCTGGAAGATGCCATCTTGCCAGGACCTCCTGAGGCAGTCAAGCATGGGTCAGCAATCACAGAGCTGCAGTAGGTCCTGTAGAGAAAAAAAAGCACAAATGGAAATTACCAAGAGCTCTCTCCTTAAAAAGTCTGTAGGAAACAAAGAAAACAACCAAAAAAATCTGTACACACATATATTCTGCCTTCTAGATGCTTTTCAAGACATCACACAAAAGATGTGATTTACTGCACTTAGTGCTACAACTACATCTAAGTGATTTGTTCTTCCAGGGCAAAGGTTTCTCCATTTCTCAAACGCAGAAGAGTTAAAGTAGTTGCCTCCCAGTATTTCTGATTTTGGCTTTATTTAGACAATTTTTTTTCTCTGATTTGGCTCGAAGGTTCTCGACATTGAGAGTCCCCAGAACCTCCAAGAAGCCCAAATGTTATCTGAAAAGCATCACCAAAGGGAAACTCAGGGCAGAACCACTTTACCCTACCATTTACATACTTGAGATGCTGTGGCAGAACACAAGTGTTATTCAGAGTCACAAACAAAGAGAATTTCATCCCGGGCTAAGAACAGCTGCTGGGAGAGATTAGCACACAGAGAGAGTGAAGGCATATCCTTCCAGTAGCATCCTCATCCCCAAGAAAGGCCTGTGCTACACAAGAAGGACTAAACTGTAAGGTGCACCTGGGCTCTGCCTCTTAGAATTTTTCGTACTTTTCCTTCTGTCTTCATTATGTTTTTTCATCATTTTCTCCTGACACAGCTTTCATTTTCAGAACTACAAAAAAACCCAGCAAAACCCCACCACGCTCTCACACCTAGACCAGTTGCCCTGAACACTCAGGTTGCCTACACAGCTTCTAACAACAGCTTCAATAAGCCAAGGCCTCAAAGTTGTGTGACCCAGTATTGGACATCAGGGTATGACTACACCTCCTCTCTGTTAACACGTGTCTCTTTGCATATATTTCTCCTAAGAAATGCTAATAAAGGAAAGATATGGACACAGAAATGATAGGGTTCATTAGGTGCCCAGGTGAAAAGGAGGAGAATATACACAGCTATCTGTTATCTGCATTTTAAGAGCAGAAAAGAGCGTGTGGCCAGACGCCCCACCATATGCAGTACTGCCTCGTTGACAGACACGCAGAGCGCTCAGCACGCAGAAGGCGCAAACAGCTCCTTATCGTTCTCCAGACACTTGGTAACACGTCCCTCCACCCACAGCACTGAACATTCTATTTCGTAAGCCTATTCATCTGCTCTGCCTGAGACCCTCATCCACCTCCAGCCCTTACATTTGATTGTATTTTAGCCATCTGCTCAGCCCCACTATGTTCATTCTCTCAACATCTTTATTTGCTGTCTCTGTCTAACATTTATTCATTCCCAGTCCTAACCTCTCTCCTTTCCCTTCTATATGAACCTGACATACCCTCTACTCTCACACACCTTTCTCCCATGCCCAAAGAACTCACTTATCCTCCACCACCTTTTACCTCAGATTTAGCCCTTGTACAACTTTTATTATTTCCTTCCATCACCTTTGTCCCCAGTTACAGCACAGTGAGATTAACTTCTACCCATTCTCAGTAAACAACATGACACTGCATCATTGCTCGAGCCTCTCTCTAACCCACCCAAGCATTCAGCTATCTTTAGGGCAATCAAAATGCATAGCTCACTGCAGAAGGGTAACCTTGCCTGTCTTCTGCGACCTCTATTTGTATCCTCCCCTTCCTTGTAAATGCAGCGAGCTGCAGGCAGAAGCACAAGCTCTTGATCCACTCAGCCTTAGAAGCACACTCTGAGAAGAGGAGGAAGTGACTTTACGATTCCACAAACAGGCAATGGCACTGGCCACCCTCTGCGACAGATCAGCTCCAACTGTAGTAGTTTCTAAAGCATTCACATTTTATGTTGAAATGAGTAAAAACTTAGTTCTAACCTGTGATAACTTAAAAGTCCTATCCTAAACAGAGCTCATGAAAAGCACTGAGCTGTCTGACAGCTTCATAGCTACGGATTTGCACTAAGATGCAGCCAGCGTTACCCACGTTTGCTTCATCGAGGCAAGGAGGTCTACTGAAAATCCAAGAAGCTGCGCTGGTTTAACAGAACATAAGCCACATCAGCGGGCACTAACTTCCAACTGATCAGAAGAGGTGGTGTTATTCTTATGCAACATAAGGATTTTGCTTACTGAACCACCACAAATACAACCCAAGCACCTGCCTTCAGGACAAACTCCCGAATCCTATTATGAAGGGCACATGCAACACTTACGCAAGCCTCAGCACCTCTGATGATCCAAAAATATCTGAGCAACTCCCATCATTAACCAGACTTTTCTTACCAGCTCTGCTAGTGGATGAGCCTTAGCCTCCCATGAAACACTCCCTCACTAAGCTTCTCTTCTCTATCCCTTCTCAGACATCCACCACTGTTTCACACTTTCTGCTCTCCACTTCTCTCCTGACTTTTTTCCTTTCCACTTTTATACTCATAAGGACAAAAAAAAAAAACAACCCAAACCCAAAATACATCTTGGGATTTTTATTTTTCTCCACCCTTATTAAGAATGAAAAAAGCACATTAAGCCTCTTTGATGAGTGGTGAAGACCATTTAATCAAGCGCACTAGCAAAACAGTGTCCACATGAAGCACAAAAATAGATATGGAGAGTAAGAAATGAGAGACGAGGGAGAAACTGGCATAGCATTAACAGAAATGGCAATGGGAATGGAATTTGGAAAGAAAGAGTCAGAAGAAAGAATGGGAGAAAAAAATTTAGGGTAGAGATAGCAATAGATTAGCTACTGAGAAGGAAAAATATTTCCAGAAGAGATCCTCTCAAACAACTTCAGATCCTAGCTGCTGTCAGAACACAACAGGACAGATAAAATGAACAACAAAGAGAAAGGAGAAAACAGAGTAACAGTAACATGA